CCCCACACACACACATATACATATGCAGGGAGAACGAGGGACAGCAATACAAAATACATAAATTATAATATTAGTCCGAAACCGCTCGGGGTCCCTGGGTCGCTCAGACCCAGGACCCTGACAGACAAATAGATGTATCATATCATTTCCTGCAGAACTGGAGCTAAACAAATCTGTTAGAGGCAGTAAGATAAAATGAAACAACATTTATCCCATGCTGGTCAAATTTAGTTGTCATATCAGTGCAATAGAACCACCTAAAAACAGTGAATTTGAACATAAAAAGAGATAAAGTAAATCTGAGAGTTAAAAACACTGAGAAGTGTCCACTGTATTTTATTTTTTGGATATATGGTATTTTACACATTTTCTTTTCCCAGTGATCTCTGTCGCTCCCTTCCCTATTCCAACCTATTTGTGAACCATTCAGCATACAACTCATGCATACAGGAGCAGGCTAATATTCCTAGAACTAGAACCAAACAAGGTGAGGCAGCATTTACTGTTCATGCATCTCTATTGAAGCATAAACTCCCCTCACACTTGCAGCGTGCAAAATCTATTAGTTAATTTCAATCAGGATTTAAAACTGTTTTTTGTTTGGTTTGCTTTTTACGTGAAATATAAATTCTAGCGCTGTCAGTATTAATCTTGTAAAAATGACGTTAACGCCATAACCGCAATAATCGGCAAATCTCCGTTAGCGAGTTGGGCTTACATAAGTTGGCTTGCGTTGGGCTGCACGGCGTCAACGCATTAGCGCAGTTAGCTCCTTAACACGTTACCGCCGTGCAGCCCCACACATAGGGCAATCTGCGTTAATTCGCTAATGGAGAATGCCGCATTAATGCAGTTATGGCGTTAACATCATTTTAACGAGATTAATGCTGACAGCACTAATAAATTCTATTATAATTATTGTATTTTTGCTTAGTCCTAATCCTTTCCTCATTTTGTGTTTGTAAAGCACATAGAATTGCTTTTGTATGAATGGTGCTACAGTAGTTTGACTTTGACAGTTCATACATGTTCAGTGACATGCAGTTAAGGTTTTGGAGAACAGGATGGAAGCATGTTGGTGAAAACACTTTCTGTATGCTGTATGATAGAAAGGGGACAGAGGGGGGAATGCCTCCGCTGCACCCTGGTGACATACCTTTACCCCAAGGCCCTGCATGTGTGGGTGATTGTGGTGGAGCGGGAAGAGGGAGGCAGCTGGAGATAGGAAGGGAAGGAAGAGAGGGGCAAGTGGCTGGGGCCAGCTCCCCCGCTGACCCCAGCAGGCACCCCCCACTCTGCAACCCACCAGGGCAAGGTGGCCCAGGCCCATCCGGACCCAGTTCACCAGCGCCGCCCGGCCCCACAGAGCTCGGGACAGCCCACACGACCCCACCACAGAACAGAAACTGCACCCACCCTGTCATCCACTCATCTTCCAGACTACACAAGACAATAGACACCCAGACTGAGTTCTTCATCCACCTCTCCTATATCTCCACAACCCCGGCAACACACCAACCAGGACCAAAGCCCCCAAGGCCCAGCCAGGGCCCCAGCCCAGAGACGGAGCACCCCCAGAACCCCATGCCCGTCCCGGACCCACCCAGGGGCAGCCAGGCTACCAGGTCAGTAACCCACGTCTGTCAGCACACACCCTCCCTAGCCCCACTGCATGCAGCCACGAGGAAGCCATCACCTAAGAGCCAACAGAGTCCTTAACAGGCCATGACTGCAACCCCGGGTTGAGCCCTCCAAGGAAGACGCTCCTGGGGAATCGCCCGACGCCCCAAGCCTGTCCCTACCCCCACACCAATCACAACAGCGAAGGTGGGACCAAACTATGACCCCCCACCCCCACTAGGTGTTGAAGCTGATCAAAGGAGCCCAGAGCAATTGATCTGATGTGGTGGCAGAGGCTGTATCAAGACTAATGTAATCTATTGGATAATTTCTATATTGGTTAGAATTAAGATTATTTTTTATTTTTCCAGTTCATGAGGACTGTTTTCTTGGCTATGCATAGGGCAGTGAAAACCATATGGGCTATATTCTTTTCTGTAGTGACATAATCTAAGCTGCCCAACAAACACACTAAATGGGAAGTTGGGATGTTACATTTCAGACACTTCGATAAGTCTTCACATATCTCGTGCCAAAACGTTTGAACTGGTGGACAGAACCAAAGGGCATGGATATAATTGTCCGGTGTATTGGTTTGACAGTGTGAGCAGTTGTTGGTAGACGTAAAGCCCATCTTGAACATCCGGTGACCTGTATAGTGTACTGTATGTCGTATTCTGTATTGAATTAACTGAAGACTGGGAAAGGTTTTTAAGCATATCTGAGACCAGAAGTTTTGGTCTAAGTTAACTGATAAATCCGCTTCCCATTTTGCAGTAGGAAGTGATATTGATTCATCTGTTTTAGAAAGCATTCTGTATATTTTGGAAAGTAATTTGGGGGTTTTAAGAGTAAGAAATTGTACCACACTTGATGGTGTTTGTAGTTCAACTTGACTGGGTTTAAATTTCTTTTTTACTATGGATTTAATTTGTTGATATTCTAAAAATCTTTTCTTGTTGATCCCATATTGTGTAACTAGTCTGTCAAATGGAATAAATTATATTCCTTCTAATATATGTTCTAAATATTTGATTCCTTTACCACTGCAATCTGAAAAGTTTATCATATTATTGTTTTGTAATATGTCAGGGTTGTTCCAGATAGGTGTACGTTTGCATGGGATTAATGAAGACTCCGTCAATTTTAGAAACTCCCACCATGCTGTCAGAGAAGAGCTGATGTTGATGCTTTTGAAGCATTCGTGTCGTTGGATGTTTGAGCTGATAAATGGTAGGTCTGAAATCTCTAGATTATTGCAAAGTGCTTGTTCTACATCTAGCCAAGGTTCATCTAAGAGGGTATGTTTTAGCCGTTTAGTTTTGCTGAGATAAATTGAAACCTGTTGGCTAAGAAGTAGTGCTGAAAGTTAGGTAGTTCTAATCCTCCTTTATCCTTGGTCTTTTGTAATGTTTTTAAGCTTATACGTGGGGGTTTATCTTTCCAAAGGAATTTGGACATATATGAATCTAGAGATCTGAACCAATCTTGTGGTGGTTTAGTTGGGATCATTGAGAATAAATAATTTATTTTTGGTAAGACCATCATTTTTATAGTGGCAACCCTTCCCATGAGTGATATGGGTAAACATTTCCATCTAGCCAGATTGCCTTCTACTTTCTTTAAAAGTGGGATATGGTTTAATTTAGTTAGATCTGCAAGCTTGGGGGAAACAAGCTTGTAGAGAGGACTTTCTGCAGCTTCAAGGCAGAGACAAACGTTTTTCTCAACTGCCAGACAAAATCAGTGCATTCACTCGAAAACTTGAGATGTACAACAAGCGACTTGATGAAGAAAATGTTTATTCCTTTGAGAATCTGAGCAACTTTGCCTAAGCCAGTTAGTTGGGAGCTAGGACAGTAATCCCATGTCTTAAAGAGCACACCTCTTCCCTGAGAGCATCTTTTCAGAAATACTTTCCAAATAACAGTGCTCAGTATGACTGTGTTAGAGATCCATTTAATGCAACTGCACCTGCTGATTTCAATTCTACTGAAGAAGACCAATTCATTGAGAACACCTCTGACTCCACACTCAGGCTTAGGTTTGCAGGTCAAACACTGAGTGAATCCTGGCTTGGTTTGAAGAGGGAGTATCCACGCCTAGGAAAGACAGCTGTGGGCATTCTGCTTCCGTTTGCTATGTCGTATCTCTGTGAGATGGGGTTTTCTGCTGTTGCCTCACTGAAAACAAAGTATAGATCTAGGTTGAACACTGAACATGACTTGAGAGTGGCAGTATCAAGTCTGCAACCACGTTTTGAAAAGCTCTGCATTCAAAAACAGGCTTACTGCAGCCACTAAGAGTGGAAAGTCCTTCACCTATGCCACTCTTTCCACCTGCCCCTAAAAACAGTCTGTGATCATTGTTGGGCTTTTTATTACCGCTATTCATTTTAAAGCTCAGTTTTAAAAACCGTACGATGTAACTACAGTCCAGCCCATGCAGCAGTATATTATTGACTAACCTCGTATTGTGGATGGAATATCTCAGTTGTTCTCCCGACTGAAGTTTGGTCTGTTTACAGCATCCTGCCATGCAATTGCATTTGTTTCTAATCTTCAGAAACCCTCACATTTTATCGAGTGGAAAAAGGTTAGCGTTCTTCCTCCAGCTTCACAGTTTATATTATGCTAACATAGCTGTGTTGCTAGCAATCATGTGGCACATCATTATATACCAGCTAGCCGAACTTCAGTAACCCTACAAACGTCACTGCTGTTTAGTTTCCTGTCTTCATTTATGTCGGAAGTGATAGCAGAGCTATACGTCTTAATTTGTTTCAGAAATCGCTCAGTCAGAACATGCTCTATTATATTTAGATGGAAACTAGCGAGCTAACTCCCTGCTAACTTCTAACTCCATTAAATTTAATAAATTCTGTTTTCATGGATGCCTGGATGTTAAACGTAATTGTTACACCTAGTAAAGCAGCAACGCTGATCATTTTATTACAGATGAAGGGATTTAGACAGTTTTTAACTCTCAGTGATGCCGCAGTGATTATGTGACTTAGGGACCTGTGTTTGGGCCCAGGCACGACTAATGATGTCAGACTTAAAGACCGATAGCCTTGTGCAATAAGAATGGAGGCATTTATATACTTACAACAGTGATACAAAACGAAGAAAAAAAAGGAAGTTAATTAAAAACAGTAAAAGTAAGACTTATGCTCTCAGCTCCCACTCTTAGAGTATCTGTGCTTAATAAAACCCATGAACATTCATTCTATTCCCTCTGAGAACCTTGACACCTGGAGAAATCCACCAGGTTCCAGATATAGATGTTTTCAACATGGTTTGCAGAAGTCCCAAACCCTTAATGGTTTTGTAACTATTTCCATATTGATAATGTCAAAGACTTCACTTCTCGTGTGTTCTTGAGGGGTTTTTTTTTAGATTATAGCATAATGTTATGCTTTTTGAAATATTTAAACCTACTTCATTTTAAGAGAAAAGTTCAAGTTAAATAATTTAATTCAGCAGGTCTGGCAGATAGTGTGCCTATGCAAATCTTTCTCAAAAATGTGGCCCAAGCAGACCGAGTTAGATAATCTCTTGAGTGATGACTCAAAAGATTATCTAACTCCTGGTAGGACATGCCTGGAGCTTGGACAAAAAAACATCTGGACTTCTTTAAGTTTCATACTCTGCAAAAGCAAAGATGAGATCCTGAAGCCACCCCCTACCATTTGGCTATGTCTGGATCAATGGTTCTCAAACTTTTCACAATTAGTACCACCTCATAAAATATATGGCTCTTCAAGTACCACCCTTATGCCCAACATTTAAGTACAGTAGTATAGGCCGATTTAACACCATATAAAGTTTACAGGAGACAATTTTATTTCTCATATGAATGCTATTTATTTTAACTGTCATAAACAGGATGTGATGAGTGATAATAATAACAACTGTACTGCATTAAAACATTCACAGCAGGTGGGATATCCAATCTTTAAGTGATGACATGATGAAACCTGCTTCCGGGTCCAAACTACTTTGAGTTTATTAACAAGCCCCTAAAAAAAGACAGCGATCACTGTTGGCCTCTCTCGGTTTTTATTACCACTATTTTTTAAAACCATATGATGTAACTACAGCCCAGCCCATGCAGTAGTATATTAATTACTAGCCTCGTATGGTGGATAGATTATCTCAGTTGTTCTCCTCACTGAAGTTTGGTCCATTTATAGCATCCTGCCATGCAATTGCATTTGTCCCTAAACCTCACATTAACTTTTATCGAGTCAAAAACGTTAGCGTTGATCCTCCAGCTACTCTATGTTTATGTTATATAAACCATAACTGTGTAGCTAGCCACCACGTAGCCACCATTATTATATACCAGCTAGCCCAACTTCAGTAACCCTACAAACACCACTGCTGTTTAGTTTTCTGTCTTCATTTATGTTGGAAATTATAGCAAAGGTGTATGTTTTCATTTTTACTGTGACAGTTAAGCTGCCAGATTTTTGGCTTCACACTATCCTTCATGGTTTCTGTATGTCGAGACTCAGTTTGCTCTTCGTGGCATTTCAGCCGACGGCACAAGATACCATCATGTGGTGGCATTGCAGTCCACCCACCATGTGATGACCCTCCTCTGGGATCTCCCCCACCCAAAAGAAATACACTGCTCTCAAGGCGCTGCTGCTGTGGTGCTACTCCCTCTCCGATGCACAGCAGGCAGAGAAAGTCCTCTCTCTCTCTCGGGCCTGGGCGATGGTACCGCTCTCGAGCCCATGGATAGCATGCTGTCCTTGCTAGGAACAGATGACAGCGGATTCCTCTTTACTCATCTCTTCCTCCGACATTTGCTGGCTCCAGTGCAAGCTGGCCTAGCCAACTCCCCACTGCTAGTGGCGAAGGATTACCACTCATTCGCAGAAGAAACAGACTGCATTCACCTGGCTACTAGGAGCTTCAGGCATCCAGGCGATAGTTCCCGACTCTCTGACGGCATCTCCCGCGCCCCCACTGATTTTTACCATCAGTGTTTTGGCAGCCCAGCATGGCACTATCTGCTGCCTTGCAGTTTTAAGGCCCAGGGAAATGAGCCCCCCAGTGCTCTTTACCACTGGAGATAAGGAAAGGCTGCTCTTCAAAGAGGACTCAAGCTCGGGGAGACGTTTTCTGGTCTACTCCAGGTCCCAGAAGAACCTCCGCCTCTGTCAGTGCGCCCCAGGGTGGCTGTGGCTACAATGTAGCTTGCCATCACCAGTGTGTAAATGTGTGTGTGAATGGGTGGATGACTGAACGTGTAAAGCGCTTTGGGTACCTTAGGGACCAAGTAAAGTGCTAAACAAATACAGGCCATTTACCATTTACCATTTTCTTTGCAAACATCCACAATTGTATATTATTGAGAAAAATCTTTTAAAAAAATCTGAGACTTCCCGCATACCACTAGAGAGAGCCCAGCAGTGAGCTCCGCCCAGGCAGAGAGGTAGGGGAGAGAGAGAGAGAAAGCAAAAACACAAGTGTAGCCTTGTGAGGCCGGCTGGGCAGGTACGGGGACCATGACAGAATCAATGATAAAAGGCATCCCTTGTCGAGTCCAACACCCACCAACATTAAGTCCGACTTGCTGCTAGCTTTCACTATGGTTATGGACTGAATGACCCCGTAACAACTGGCCAAACGCCCTGTGCTCCCGAAGTCCATAACTTGCCAGAACTACTCTGAGACCAACTGAAAGTCTTGTTCCATGGTCCCTTTTTTTTCCCTTGATAAATAAAAATCATAATTTATTTGGGTTATCTTTATTAAAGAGAATAAAAGTCAGACATATAGTCTGATATAGTGGCATCTGTTAATTTTTTAACTAAATTTGTCGTCTTGGTAGAGAGTTAGGCCAGTTGCCTATTCATTACAACTCAGAAATGTAGTTGGACATTTGAGACCATGCCAAGACCTGTAAACATCACAGAGATTGAAATTTCTGTTCAGAGTGGGTCGACATTAACAAGAAATGGCCATTGGAGGTTCTGAAATTAACACCAGGCCTACAATTTAATGCAAGAATATAAAAAGATAGGACAGAAAAAGGCATTATCAATAGCCAAAATTGGTTAATTAGTTTTTAATTACATTAATGCTTTGTGATAAATTTTCTTCTGTGAAAAAAAGAAACTCTACATAACCCCAAAACAACTATGCAAAGCTCCACTGCATGAGTTTATTGTTATTGTTTTTGTTGAAATTGTTAAATTCTAGGAAAAAGTTAATAGTAAAAAATTAAAGGGTGGATCTAATATATTTTATGTATATCCAACAGGCAACAAACAACAGTTAACTCAGGCTTAAAAGCGAACAAGGATTTGGTGAGTTATATGATATGCTGCATAGGTACCCCAGAATATATATAATTCATTAGAAAATTCATCAGTCTTGACTGTCACTATAAGTTGAACTATAATCTTTAACAGGTGATGATCCTCAGTCCAGCCTTCATGAAATATGTGCATCATGTTTGGTTAAAACGGAAGGGCAAGTATCCATCCACTGGCTTTATGACTTTGATTCTCAGCTTGCACATGTGTGATGAGGTAGGTTTGTAAAGCATAGTTATAATAACATATTAGATTCAGGAAACCAATTAGATATGTTAATGATTGTGTGATTTTATATATATATATATATATATATATAGATAGATAGATAGATATATTGTTTTTATTTTATAGCAAGGGTGTCGAACTCCGGGTGTCCTGCAGGTTTTAGATAACTCCCTGGGTCAGCACACCTGAACCAAATGATTAGTTCATTACCAGGCTTCTGGAGAACTTCAGGACATGTTGAGGAGGTCATTTAGCCAGTTAAATTAGCTGTGTTGGATCAAGGACACATCTAAAACCTGCAGGACACCGCCTCTCGAGGCCTGGAGTTCGACAAATGCGATTTATAGTGATGACATAGGTTAGATCCTTATGAGATTCCTTTGTTAATTTTACTATATTTGTATTCCCAGGTCAGTGTGTTTGGGTTTGGAGCAGATCGAAATAGAAACTGGAATCACTATTATGAAAAATTAAAAGTAAAACGTCTGCGAACTGGACACCATGCTGGAAATGAGGAATACAAACTCATTGAGGAACTCTATAAGAAAGAGAAAATTCTTTTTTTCAGAGGATGGTGATCTTTCTTTTCTTTTTTCTCTCTGTGACATTAATAATAATTAAAGAATGAGTTTACTGATAGAAAAAATGTACATGTTTTTGCTTGATGACATGTATCTATTTGCTCTCTTTTGAGTTTAATTAGTTTTGGCAAACTTTGCATAAAATTGATTTTATTCTGAAACGCTGACAAAAAAAAGTTTTAAAAAAGTACAACAAGTTGTTAGAAAAACAAATACTCAAGTAAAGCATCAATGCTTGAAAATTCTACTTAAGTACAGTAATATTAGAGTAAAGAATTTATATTTAGTTAGTTCCTGCCACTGGACTGAATGCCATGGCTAAATATTTTTGAGCAGCAAAAACGATTGAGCGTAAAGCTATCAGCTTGGCCTGCCCCAAACAATTATTTTGATAGTCGACTAGTCAGATCATGGATCCATTGGATGTAAAACGTACAGCTTATTGCACCAGCATCTGCTCTTATATAGCTATTATTAGCTTACAGCTTCAAGTGTTCAAGGTATGTGCTAACTAAAAATAAAAACAAGATGACAGTTTATTAATGAAATTTGCAGATTGTAGCAACAAACTGAAAACAAATATAACAAAAGTGCATTTTGTGCTCAGTGCTCACAACTATCCATGTTTTTCTTCAAGCAGTCACATTGCTGCCACCATATTGGAACCACTATCATGTACTACTCCTTTTATTTTGGCAGGCAATATGTCAAACTTTGTTACCACCTCTTTCATCCATGTCATTATATTGACACCAGTATGCCTCTCCTCAAGAGGCATGGTGTCAAGAATGAAGCTCATCATCTTCCAATTCACTCAGGAAATAGCAAGACACACCAAGGTAGGCCTCTGTTGCATGACTGGTCTAGACATCAGCAGTCACGGTGAAGAAACTTTTGACAGCTCCAAGGGTCTGCTTTACCTAAAGATATGAGATGATTTGAAACAATAGTAACCATTAGGAAGAAAATTACAATATAGTTTTTCATTATTAATAATGTTTGTCAGTTTATGTATCAAGATTTAAATTTGCCAATTCAATAATTCAGTTACATCAAATACAGTTAATGTCAGGCTCAGGAGAGACTCGGAGGCAGACCGTCACGTAAGTTCACAATTTATTACACACAGACACCAGGTGCGGATATATACAGGTGAGGGGGCACAGGAAGAGGGTCTCCGGGAAACACAGGCACGGGAAGGGGACGGCTATGTACACAATCCTTCACTGAAGCTCAGGTAGCTCGGACTCCGGCTTTTGGCTCACCAAACGGCGGTCCTCAGGCTGGCGAGAATCTGGCACAGGGAGGAAGAACAGGTAAGCAGCGGCACGAAAGAAACTCGGGGAAAAAAGCTCGGACTAGAAATGACACTGACGAGTGTTACACAATAATCCAGCGAGGAAGCACTCTCAGCAGCTGCCTTAAGAAGTGGATGAGATGAGATGATTGTTTGCAGGTGTCCGAGCCAGGGGCTGGAGCCGTCATGACTCCGCCCCGGTAGAGCGCAGTGCGCGGGAGGGGAGAGAGATGCAGCACAACAAAAACACTTGTAGCCATACAGAGTCAGCCGAGAAGGCACAGGGTCATGACAGTTAAGTAGGTTAAACATTCAACATATCAGTAAAAACCAGGATAACTTTTTTGGTTGCTCAGTCAGCAAGCTCTTAATATTATTTCATCATTACATGTATTAAATTGTAATACAAATTGCTATTTTGTGTTTGTAGTGTCAGAGAGTTCAATCCGTTATTACACTCTTAAATCCTACTACTTATTCCTGCGTCTTTCAGGATCTTACAAAGCTTGAAACAACGCGTTGACTATTAAATTAGTCGCCAACGATTTTGATAGTCAATGTAATCGTGACTAATTGACTAATCGTGGCAGCCCTACTATCACCATAAACAGTAGCATAAAAAAGAAAAAACCAAAACACACCATGACCAGTTTGTGTCTCTGTAACTAACCAGAGAACTTCAAACATTACAGCACATGACTAATTTGTGTTACTTTTCTCCAATGACCCAACAAAACACAGAAAGGCAATAATAATGATAAAAATAATAAAAATAGTAATAACTTTATTTGTATTGCAAATAAAAATCAAATACAGACACATAATCAACATACAATCTATGTAATCGGAGAAAGCTCAAGGAGCTTAAGTTACCTTAATGCGCAAAAGTCCACTAAACACACGCAACCAAGCTACCAACTCTCCCGACTTTATATAACCAGGGAAACAATGCCTGGCTAGCTAGCTAAGCTTGCAAAAGAACACCACAAAAACGCATGGCATAGTAAATGAGCTAAAACAAAGGGTTACCGTGCCAGTTTCCTCTGTTGTTTTTCACTGGTAGCCGACTGAGTGTTGATAAAGTTGTGTACAATATTAGCCCTATTCTGACTTATTTTAACTGGCAGTTTAAACAATTTTGCAATTCACACAGCTTAAATAAATATTGTGTGCTAACCTTTATGTGTGTGTGTGTTTTTCAGATGATGCATTTCAGGAATACTTTGAAAATACTTGTCCTAGCATCCAAATAATCAGTTGTTTTGAATTTAATAAATCCTCTTAACCTTGTTTTTTCTTCCTAGCCAAATAAAATGTTCCACAGAAAACAACAATATGGAAGGCCATCTTTCAGGACTCAATAAATAGTTATAGGTAGGTTTTTTAAATGTCATACTTGGTGTAGTCTTAGCTGTGTTGACATTGTTACGCAACTGATATAGTATATGGTTTGATGACATTGCCAGTGTTTACAGAGCAACAGGCGTATTTTATCATTTGAGAGAATGGGTAACTGGAATGTCACACCTTTAATATTTTCCTGTTTGCACACTATCAGCTTATGATGTGAGCTGACAGCAGATTAACCTATATTACAGGCTCCTTTATTAAATCCATAGATCACTACTGTATGGAACCACAGATGGAAAATGTGTTTTATAGTCATGGGTCCTTCTTCAGTTTTACACATGATATAAAATGCAGAATGCAGTGGGTTTGTATGTGATTAGGGCTAGTGGTGTGCAATACTGCGGTGTTTAGTATTCATCTGATATCAAGTAAATACAGCAGGGGCAGTATTGCCAATAATACCGATACCAATGCTTTTTAAGGCAGCTTATGTAGGAGAGACTGGCATATAATAGTTTATGAAATTAATCATCACTTTTTTGACAAATCTGAACACATTTTAATGACCACCAGAAATCACTATGATTTTTACTCCAGAATAATTAGTTACCGTAATAAAACACATACATGAAATATATTTGACTGTCAACACAAAAAGGTTATTATATTCAGACATTTTTCATACTTCATGTTTTAGGTATATTTTTTCAGCTCCAGTACAATAATTTATTTAACACAAGTCAGTGGCTTGAATATATTATCTAAATGTCTTAGTATATTCTACAGGCAATCAATCTGCTTACCTAACAACTAAGATGACCAATAACACTTTACTATTAAGTAATGCTGGAGAACCGAATAAATAAATATTTTAACCACTACATGAAGTACCTTGTTGTTCTTTGCCTGTTAGAAAGGACAGTAAGACTGGGCTCTGTCTGTAGGCTCTGTGCTGGAGGTCTTAGTCTGTCGAAGGGATTTCCTTCCTCCCGTCTTCATCTTTTGCTGCTTGTTCCAGCATTTACAACTGTAAATTACTTCTTACATGATGCGCTGCTTTCTCACTCACTGCAGCCTGCATTTCACTGCTCAGTCCCATGGGCTCAAGTGATAGCTAAACACAGCAGAACATGGAGGGGATGGAGCAGCATGTACCTGCATGAGAGGAGCAGTGTTTACACAGAGATGCCTATGATCTGATAAACATGAACAATGCCGTGAGCTTGGTAATTATATTAAAATATTACACCAATACCAGTGTTGGTCTCTACATTATCGTTATTTGGCTTGGTCTAGCCACCTCTAGTTAAAACAGTTCAAAGAGCCTAAAGTTTCCCTGGGCCAGTTCAACCATACACTATTGTACCAAACATTAGAAAAAGTGTTTGAAGTGAAACATTTGTGATGATCTAAATTGCATTTAGATCATTAAATTGTCACATATGACTAACAGCTCTAAAATTTTGCTTTTTGCTTTTAGCAGGCAGGTACTTATTTTCTAGTAGAAAAGGAAATGGATAGCAGAAATTAAGTTGCGAGAATTTTGGTGAAGTACACCAAAACACCAACTGTGGAAGACTAGAATGGAATGAGAGATCAGAAAACTTGACATCTGGAATTAAAAAAAAAGAAAGAAAGAAAATTCATCAGGACCCTGATGACAAAAAATTCAAGTAACAAGGATCTGACAGAGAGTAGAGGTAGGAACCCATCCTTGTTTGATGAAAAACAGGTGCTGGTGCTAAACTCTTGAAACAGCTAGTACAGCCACGTCTCCAGAAGGTGGTGATTGGAGAGGTGTGCCAGCATGCGTACATACATCAACCTGCGGCTAAGGAAATGGGAAAGAGAGAAAGAGCAGAAGAGAACAGGCACAGAGGAAGAAAGAGTATGATAGACATGCTTGACTATGACATTCTAATATAATTTTGGTTGTACTATAGATGTAAATCAAAATTAACAATTAATTAATTTCAATATTTTAACATCTGTGTTTGGATTGGAATGTTTGCAGAGTTTACAATCGGTGTGTCTTTAGCTTTGTTAAGCTCCAGTCCAAGCTGGCTACTGAAATACGGATCACACAATCAGTCCCAGTGGCTCTGCCAACCTTCTGGCACTGCCCCTGGAATCCACTGCACCACCTCTCCTCTGCAGTGGAGCCGCAGACCACACTACACCACATTCTCAAAAGTAATTTTGTGTGTAGCATCGTGTTATATGGGATCAGTACAAACTATTTTAAAAGTTGTAAATTTTAAAAGTTTTAATCCATAATAAAGTGCTGTCAAGTAGTATTTAGATTGCCTTTTCTATTGATGAGATTTGTGTTTCTGTAATTATTCCTTTT